GTTTTCATAGATGGAAAGTTGAGTTGAGGGAAAGAAATGTGACAGACATAGGCGTTTTTCGGGATAAAAAAAAAAAAGGATAATTGTGGCCTTGAGAGGATTGCGAAATGCAGCCCCTTCAAACATTTGTGGGGAGATTGACAAGACGTGGACTGCAGCTGGGCTCGGTGCTTCCAGAGCCAGCGCACACAGATGTCTCCAGGAAATGAGGTGTAAACTGTCACATTCACTTTGCTAACAAACTCCTGAAGAGTCTTACCCGAGCTGAGGTGAGCAGTACTGGACCGTTGTGAAAAAAAAAGTTTTTTTCTTTTTTTTTTCAGATGAAAGTAAATTTTGAACTTGATTTAGAAATCGAGGTCTAAGAGTCTATAGAGAGGCACAAACTAGAACCTGCCTGAGGAACCAGCGTGAAGGTTTCCCAATCTGTGATGATTTGGGAAGTTGAGTCATCTGCTGGTGTTGCCAAAAGCTGTTTTTTGAAGTCCAGTGTAAGCAAGTAAATTCTCTACTGTTGTCATTTACCTGCCTTCACTGCTTTAATGGCTTGATATTAAAGCAGTGATTCTGTTGACAAGTTTATTTTTTTAATTTAAATACTGAAATTGATCAAGTTTATGAAATAAATGAAGCACAATGTTTCCTCAGAAAACCCGCTAAGGGCAGTGGTAGGTATGTTTTTGTGTTGGAAAAAATGTTAAAAGTTATAAATATGTGGATGTGCCCAAGCAGGTATCATAAATTGGGAATAATAAAGTGAAGCCAATGGGCATGTACAAGGACAGAACAATTGGTGTGCACTCCCTTGCACCCAGTTCAATGTAAACCTTGCTTAATATGTCTTTACTGTTACTGGTGCATAAAAAAACTCCATTAAAAATTTAAAACAAACAATGCTTAGCCTGGTGGGAGGGCAAACAAAGCCTGGTGGCCCGCCAGGCTTATAAAACTCTGGGGGAAACCCTGAAGCAGCAAGGTTTGCTGCTTCAGGGCACCCACTACAGTGTGGGTTTGTAGAAAAAACCACTACAATATCCCTTCAGTAACATCTGATAGTAACTTCAGATTTAAAAGTTGCTCTAAGAAAGAGTAAACATGCTAACTAGCTAATATAGCATTGTTTTCTTAAAAATGCTCTATGGGTTTCTTTTTTCACTTGGTGTCAATCGTCGAACACTGACTAGATGATCAGCATCACACACTGTTGTTAATACTGGTAATACTTTTATAGAGCAGGACTGAAAAAAATTCAAACAATAATTTTTAATCAGAATTGCTATCACAGGCGTGTATTCCCCATCGTTTCCCTGCTCTGTCCCATTCTATCATTCAGCTGAGTAAAGTTGTAAAGGCTGACCAGTCGTTCTTCACGTGTAACAACTGGAGATTAAGCCAAAGGACTTTCGCAATGGAAAAAAACCCACAAAAAACAACTTAATTTTATAATGGCAGGCACTCAAGAAGTCAGTGTCTCCTTGTGCCTTTTCACTTCTGGTCCTCATGTTCTTTTGTCTACACAATGGCGTCCTGTGCCTGAGAATGCCAGAAGATGTAATCAGTCTTGCTTCACTTCACTTGATCCGTTTCCACAATTAGGTTGTGAGTTTGCGGCAGCACGACGTCTGCTGCTTTTACATAGGCTAAAGTCAGTGTGGCTCGTTGTTAAAGGAAACGTTGAGTCTGAATGTGTTTACAGCGCCGCTTTCAGATCCTCGGCTTATCGAAATTCGGGCGCAGCATTTCATTGCCCAAAGCAAAACACAAACATATGGAAAGGATCTGCTGGAGCGGTCCGCAATACTATTTTCATATTTAAAATTCAACATTGCTCTCATGTCATATCAAGCGCGAATATTTTTCCTGAACATGTTTACTGTACAGTCCAGTCCAGTAGTCTAGTATCTGCCGAGCAAATAGGATGACTGTGAGAAAACGTTCTCCCGTTTTTATTCATTTATTTAATTCACGTACAGTTTGTTTGTCGCATGTAGACATAAACTAAAGTTTTGGATGAAAATGAGTAGTTGGGGAAAAAAAACAACAACACTATGCCTATATATTCTACTCATTTTCTTAAAAGTCAGTTTGCTACAACATAAGCATCAGTCAATCATCCATGTAGATACAGTTTCATACACAAAACAGACAATGTGTATACATTAAGATATTAATAACAAAGAAAACAACATATATCTTTGTAATGATATAACACTCAACTGAATCAATATGCTTCATTATACCTTGACAGGATATCATATATTTCATTTTCTTAAAAGTAAAAATTCATCTGCTCTGTTTGGTTTCTTTAGACAAATTCTTCCACATATTTGTTTCATTTGTTTAGTTCTGATGTTTTTTTCTTTTATGTCTATTCCTCTCAATTTAAATACTATCAGCTTTAATACATCCTTTTTGTAAACGTGCTGAAAATATACCGTTTTGAATTTGAAACATAACTTGCAGAGTATAATTGTCCACCGGGTTGCAAAGTTTCACAGCTTTTAAGTTGAAGTCTTTTGCTAATAATTGTAACAGCTCCTCTTTGCAAGAATAAAAATGCTTTGCAGACTTCTACACAATGGATCAAACAGGGAACGATCAGTGAAATGCATAATACAATGTTTCATCATTTAGCCAATCTTTTCTTTGGCACGTTTTTGGGTTCAGATAGGAAATGCCTCTCTCAAAATGTTACTTCTATACACAGTTTCCTTGTTGATTTAAATGATTCCTTCAATCAGAGTGGAATACGACACATTAAGTGGTTCTGTCCACTACTTGCCCTGACACTCCCTCATACCACACACCACTGCTGGCTGTCAGAACTCGTTCACCATGCCCGTCTTGGCGTTGGGCACACATAGCAAATTCCATATCTCAGTGATTCAGCATATGTCTGTTGGGTTTTGCTCTGTACACCCCTCGGGGTATTTTCATATGCTCCGCTTAGAATCTCACACTCTTTGGATTCACTCGGGGAAACATCCTCTGGCATGTTTTTTTTTTCTTTTCTTGAAAAATCCCAATTGCATATTTGTTTGTGCCTAAATCCTTTGTGTGTGTGTGTGTGTGTGTGTGTGTGTGTGTGTGTGTGTGTGTGTGTGTGCAGCTCTACGGCTTTGACAGCCATTACAGAAGCAGCTGTTGTGAGTCTCGTCGTTACCGCTAACAAGAACCTAGAGCTAAAGCTGTAAAAGTGCCTCCTGGTGGACATTGAACATTGCTGCTTATAGTCCATGGAGCATTACTGAAAGAGAGAAAAATAAACTTATTAAGCGTTATTTGAATTGCAGTGGCAAGAACATAAAATAAAAAGAAAAAAAAGAAAAGGGAAACCCCCTCTATTCTTTGCGTTTTGTTTACTTTACAAATCATTTCCGTGGCATGCAGTACATCATTCAGCTTTTCTCCTTTATCATGTCTGCTTGTCTTGCACTCTGTTCTTCCAGTAACAGTGCAAAGCAAAGGACAAACTAGAGTGCCACATCGTACACGCTGTTGGAGCATTGTTGAGAGAGCGGCAGAAATTGTTGACTTTGTGTGAACAGCCAGAACAAACAGTTCAAACCAAGAGGAGGCCTGAAACAAATGTAGGGGGAGGAGGCAGGGGAGCGTTGGGGTTTTGTTGGGGCAGAAAGCAAATGAGAAGGAGAACTGTGGAGCAAAACAATCAGATCAAGGGTCCCAATTCCTCCGGGAGGCAGGAAATTCCTGCGTGAGGAATGTCTCTGCTGTTCAAATACCATATTTCACAAGTGAAACTTATTACACCGAGTCCCCAGTTTAGCAGGTAAACTATTTAGTTAGATACACCCAAATACAACTGCCATGAGCAATGTACCTCGGAGCAGATCGCTGTGTGCTCCCACCCCTCCACCCTCATCTTGTCTTTTTTTTGCAACTAAGAGAATTAACCGACATTCCCCGTAAAGCCTTCGCTGTTACTTTTTGAGGCTTTTTCAAACTTTTTTTTTTTTGTAATTCTGCTTTCCAACACACATTTTAGCATGGATTGTCCACTTATATTTCTACATCAAACTTTCTGTTCAAGTTTTTCTGACTGTTCTGCGACAATACGTTTAGTTTGTTTACGAATAGCAAATTATAGACAATTATTAATGCAGTAGCCCAGACATCGCCTTCCTACGCAGTTCCACTCGATTCAAATGTCGCTTGCAGCGCAGTCGGGGCTTAGATTTCTCCGGTAGATTTCGCCAATAGGCGAATGGAAAGGGAAGTTGTGAACGATGATGGCATCTTTCTGCGCCGTTTTAGAATTGCCGTCTGCCTGTATTTTCAGCAATGACAGCGGAGGAAGCGAACAAAGCCGTTCAGTCCGTGTTGGCCACGCTTCTAAATATTGAATTAATATTAACAGCCGCCTCGTTCGACTTGGCACTTCTCTGTTCACAGTTGAGGACGGGTGTTTGCGCCGCGGGCAGTTTCCGGTAAGCATCATAGAGTCGAACCGGCCAAGCGTTAGCGACTGGATAAAGTTTAAAACCTCAACAGAGCCCACGCCTCCAGGAAGGATCGTTTCTCAATAGCAGAGGGTCCAGACCCTCTACGAAGCAAAACACAGAATAAGGGGCTGGTTTTTTACCAGAGTAGTAGTTTAGATCAAAATTACCAAGTGTGGAACTGTTTTCTCTCCTATGCTGTGGCAATGATCTTCAGCTGGAATACAGTCACCCATTACCCAGAGGCCAGACTGAATATTTACTTTGGATCAAGTGTCCGCTAACAAAGAAGGGGGTTTCACCTCCTTTGTGTCTTACCATTGCAGATGAGCTTCCTTCAAGGATTAAAGTTTTTGTGAAAACATAACGTACTGTAGTCACACAGTGGTCAGATGTGACATTCTGATTTTTCAGATAGCATACCTAATATTTTATGAACATACATTTTGTGTGACAGGATAAGTTAGTAATGTTCCTATTGATCCTCATCACTTTATGCCAGTACCACTGCACCACAACACAATTTCATAATATCAGCACACAAAGACGACATTAACGTATTTATTGGCTTTTTTTTTTTTTTTTTTTTACATTTCACTGTTAGAAAATTGCAACACTGGATCAAAACATGTCAAAAGGGTTTCTGTCAGACTCTTTGGTGTTTGTAATTTTTTTTGTCTACGTAAATTGTGATCTAACAATGCGGTGTGCAAGTTGGGACCCCTTTTCAATTAATGTTACAGTAGAAGTTACATCTTTCCAAGTTAAAGGTTGTACATCTGCTTACCGCATGGGAATATTAAACACAGTTGTAAATATTTGTCAGCACAAAAAAGAAAAAAATCCCATGTCTTTTATTCATTCACTCTCTTTGTTATTTCAGATGTCAAAAAAAAAAGAAAACTTGAGCTAACCAGATGAATTGGTGCTTCACTCACTTTTCCCATTCAGGGCTCCAGAAGGGGGGTGAAGGATGTTCAAATTCATGTAATAACATGTAAACGTCACACTGAGGGTCTAAGCAAAGATTTGACATGAATAGCTTCTAGCTTTGTGTGATCTGTGCTAACCAACAGATCCAGCTCTGAAATGGCACCATTAAGCTGTGACACATGCGCTCCTTTCCAAGCATTCTGCATATTACAATGTGACATTTAAGGTCCAAGAAATGTTTTTTTTTTTGTTTGTTTGTTTTTACAAGCTACTAAATATCAAATCAAAAGATCTGATCATTTACAGTACTAAATGAAAGTCCTACAGTAACAATGAGTATACCTGCTCTGAACTTAACATAAAATATGTTTCCAAAAATCACCAAAAATCACATCAATGCATTATTTGACCAATATGTTGTTGATATATAGAGATTAGCTTTTCACCAGAAAGTGTCGGAAGCATTAGTAAAAGTCAAATCCTACAGTTGTTGGAGTTCCTCTTGAGATGCAGTTTTGCCATCAAATTAGAGTTGATTCATGCAGGAATCATTTAAATATCTTACAGATAATTGCCTCAGCAAACACAGTCGGGTTTTGCGCTTCTAACTTAAAACTCTGCGGGTGAAAGGTCTTGGAAACGGCGACTCGCTCAAAGGGAGAGGTAGGAAGAGGAGGCTTTCTGCAACGCTGCACCGCCTGCATCATACGCAAAGTATCTGCAGCGGCGGTTTCTTTTCTGTTTATGTTTTTTTTTAAACAATTGAGAAAAAAAAACATACCAAAGTTAAACTGAGCAATTACAGTAACAGATAAAAGTGAATAAGCAAATTACAATCAGTTACATAAAATGATCTCCATCACTAAAATCATGCATTGGTTGAATATTTGTATAGACATTCTTTAAAAAAGGTAGAGATGACCTATGTGCCATCTGACCAGTGTTGGAGTGTGAAGTACAAATAAAAAAGGGTAACAATAATTAAGCAAAAAAATAAAAATAAAAAATAAAAAAATACCGCAAGTCTTTTTTTCTTTTTTACTTTTCTGCCAAGATATGCAAATCCCTTGATTTTTTTTTTTTTTTTTTTGCGAAGAGTCGGGCTTTCTGCGGCCTGTTAACGAATGGTATGCCTTGATGTTAACACATATGCAAATTAGACCTGCTGTCTTCTTCTCACTGTCAACACATTTAACAGGATGAGGCCGGAAAAAAAAAAATAAATCACAGGATCCCATGCTGGTCTGCCAAGGTGGTAAAGAGAGGAAGACAAACACAAACTGACAAATTACAGCTCTTCTGAATCACTGGGCATTTCTGTGTGTTGCCACACAGCACGGATGAATGCGGACCGTCGTTCTCCCTAATTTCGTTTGTTAGATTGTAGCTGAAATGAGCCTCAACTGCGTGGAAATACAGTAAACACGGCTTTTAGGAGTCAGTGATGTCAACCGCCACGGAGCCGAGCCAGGCTGGTAACGCTGTCATTTGAAACACATGAAAGCGGAGCGCTCTTAGCACGAAATGCGGGGCTGTGTGAGCTGCTGGCGCGTCATTGGGATGCCAATGTGTGAGATGCATTATGCAAAAAAAAGAAAAAGGTAAAGTGGGGATGTTTAAACCTCAGTGTTTTTAGAACTAGAGAAACTCTGGTTTGCTGTTGGCTCAAGAATCCCAAAGCACCAAACTAAACAGAGATGGAAAAAAACATAAAAAATCAAAAAGAAGAAAAAAAAAGTCAGATTTAACCAAGAACAAATGGATTCCATTCACATTTCAATGGAATATCACTATAATGTGGCAGAACTCCTATGCTGGATCAAGACCTGCGAAGGAAAACAGAAAACATTTTTTTAATATTTTTGTTAGAATTTGAGCACTCAGTGCAACATTTCTGTGCCATTTGAAAAAGAAAAAAAAAATCTGCCTGCTGCACTTTCACATAATTTTCTTTATACACAGACACAATATGATCTTTTTTTTAAATGCTCAATTTTGGAGTTTCTCTTTACTTGTTATTTATAGCATGTTTGAGAAAAAGAAAACAGAATTTGAAACCTTTATGCCATCCATTGTAGTTTGTTCTGTACTGCTGTCCACAGTTTGTGTTTTTAAATAAATCTGAAGTACTGATAATCCTACTTGATACAAATAGGTGAAATTACAGCCAACCTTTGGATTAAACTTCATTCAGGAATGTTTTTTTAAATGTTTGTTTTCTTTAAGACAAATCCTTCTACAAATGGAAAGTGTGAAAAAGATTTGATCAAGATTTTCTTATAAGAAATTGTGCCGTATCTAAAAAAAAATAGAAATCAATAAAAAAAGATCAATTTTACTTGTACAATGAAAACAGATCAGTATTATGACAAGAAAAACCCATTTGAAATATGAGAAAATATGATGAAAAAAGTCAGAATATGAGACAACGTTGTATGTTCTTACAGTTACAGAAAGTGTTTATTTAGATTTATTTAGATTCTCAATTCTGTCTGAAAAGGTTAGAATTTTGGGAAGAACCAGCTCTAAATTTATGTTGTGTATTTTTTTTTTTGTTGTATATTTTTAGTCTTGGCCTTCATACACATACCCGAGGTCATATTTAAAGGACATGTGTATTTCTGATACTTTTCTAAACTTTCAACTTTTTGTTTGACGTCTTTTGTACACACCTATAATTTCAAGGTCAGTGCCCATGTATCACTAAAAAGCAGGTAAAGGTGGGGAAAAAACACATTCTTAATTCATTTTCAGATTTTGGTGGCAGCTCTTTAAGCTTTTGCCTAAAGGATGCCATTTTCTCGCTGTCAACGTTCAAACTGAGGTGCGTTTCACCTAATTTCAGACATGCTTTAACAAATACGTCTTTATTGCACACATAAGAGAGGCTGGCTGGAGTACTTGAACCTCTATAAAAGCTCTTTCTGAGAGGATCTGGGAGTAATTTACTGCAATGATACACTTTCTAATAGAGCTATTTGCAAGTTCAACACCCTTGGAGCCCCGTCTGAGGGAAAATATCAAACTTTGAGAGGCTGTTAATCTTCACGGGAGAATGAGAGCATAATACATTAAACCATCAAATATTTTAGCCAGGAACCTATTAAGTTCCTCAAGTGTCTCAAAACATTAGGAGGCTCCCTGTATGAGGGTATTTAGTCTCTGCTATTTTATAAAGGTGAGTCTCAGTGATGGTGGAGTATCGCTTTAACTTACAAAAGCAAACACCGATTCGAAAGACTGAACAGCTGCAGCTCCAGGTCTACCGGTCAGAGTCGATTAAAATCTACTGTTTTCGTTTAAGTACTCTGTCGTTTGCTTTACTCACTGCGCTAACTTGCAGTTGTTTGTTGTGACGAATCGCCCGGTGTAGTGAATGTTGCACCTCACCACGTTGTTGGTGAAATCCGACTCGAGCACCAAGAATTTGGGGTTCACCACAAGCTGGAGGGAAGGAAAAAAAAGAAAAACACACAAAGGAAAGGAGATGAAGCCGTTCAAAATAAAGTCAAAACTCAGGTGCAAACAATACACATGCACAAGCACGACCCGGCACTGCTTTCAAACTAATTTTAACTCCATCTTTTATTTTTTCCTTTTCCAAGGCACACAAAATGTGACCAGACAAACAATTCAGGAAGGAAGCGAACTGCAGCCTGAAAAAAAAAGCATCTCTCACCTGAAAGCTGAAAACTTTATGAATCGAATCGATTTGTTTTTGTGGCCCTGACCCTCTCCCGTTCCTATGAAATGCAGCCGCACTCGCGGTCTACAAACTTCATGTTTCAATGCACACCCAGCTCTCTCCAGACTCTCACCTTTAGTATGTAGTTTCCAGGCTTGATGTCGGTGATATCGATCCACTGGCAGTCAATATCAGCATTGTAGGTATCGTAGCAGCCTGGACTCAGACCCTGAAGAGGCAGCGGGGGGAGGGGGAGAGGCTTTGAAAAGAATACTGATTGGACTGAGCTCCAGAGGTCAAACGCAGGGCCTCACTAAATTATTCCTACCCAGTGAAGGTCTCCCACGTTTCTCATGTTGCAAGCACAAAAGTTCAGTGGATTTGATACTGATTTCATTGGATTAACCAACCACAAAAACAAACAAAAAAATAAATAAAAGGCTTGGTGTGTATTTGTATTGAGCCCCTCTTTACCCTGATATGACCTACTTCTATTGCACTTTATCAGCCTCAAAATGCTTCACACTTCATTCACCCTTTCACACACACATTTATACGCTAATGGTGACAAGCTACTATCCGTAAAATAATATCCAATAATTGGTTGTGGTTTTTTTGTTCCCTAGAATTTGTAACTAGAACTTAGTGTGTAATTTCATCTCAGTATATCCCAAGCTTTGGATGTCTCACGCCATCATCTGAATATATGAGAGCATGGCACAACTACAAAACTACCAAGACGAGGTCGTCCACCTTAACGGGAGGAGTCCAGGGACATGACTGCTGGGTTAACTGGTCTCTGTAAGCTGCCCTGTGAGTGTTTGCATGCGTGGTTGTCGGTCATGTTGCCCTGTGACGATGGAGTGGCGAGCTATCCGGGACGTACCCCGTCTCTCGCCCAATTTAATAAAATAGTCAAAATTTTGAAGGGCATGTTTGTTCCAGCAAAAAAATAAAAAAAAAATAAAAAATACAGGCATACAACTGCAGATTTATAGTCAGAAGACCCTTTTTCAGCTGATTATTCTGCTTTTGTTTGTGACATTACCTGAGTGTGAGAAGTGCAGGCGTAGCGCTTCAGGTGACCGAAGTCACAGGTGGTGTCCTCCAGGCAAAAGCTGGCCTTGTGTCCCTCTGCCACCTTGCGCCCCGTGCCGACCTCCAGCAAATCGTAGTGGCTGAACTCGTCCATGCTGTGGTAATGTCTGTCAAAATGAGCATCGGAGCGACACGGTTCAAAACACGTGAGGGTGAACGAACAAGAAGGGTCATGGGTTCAAACCAGGTGTATTTCCATCTCTCTGGAACTTTCAGGTTCCTGTCACAGTGTGGATGTGTTAGGATATTTAGAAACTCTACACTGGTGTCTTTCTCATATTTCTTTCTACTGACCCTTTGTAACAGACTGAAAAGACCGAAACATATATTGATATCATAGATGTAATGTTCGACTTACTGTTCAACCAGCCACTCTCAACAAGTCACGCTGTTGTGTGTATCAAATATAAAAACTCCAAACTGTTTAGTACTTTTTAAATACACACTGGTAATAATGGTTACCTTAAATAATACACATGCAGCTCACAGTGTAACTTGTGGTTGTAATAGATTTATGTTGTGTGTACTGAAACTGTTGACCTCAGAAGGCAACGTCTTCATGAGCTACGCTGCACCTTGACAGCACATCATCATGACTGATCAGCGGATAATGGATATTAATTAATGCTTTCATTAAAGCATAGCCGAATCAAGGCATCGCCACCCCAACGGTGGATATATTTTTAGTTAATTAACTTGTACCAGTTGGCGAGATCAGAGCCGTCTGTGTGTGGGAATTTGTGCGCGTCGCCGCTTCCGAGAGCATGCACACACATCTTTGTTTGCCTCGGCAAATACGTGTGTGTGGGCAGGGTCTGAGCACGCGCGTCGCAGCGTGCGTTTGTTTGTGGATGCGTGTTTGCACAGCTGTAGGAGCTTAGGCAAGCCTGGATACACAAGGCCACTGATCGACTCTCTGCTGAAGCGTAGCATGAATCATGGAGTTACTCTTGGTGAGAGACCGAGTCAATGAGCTGGTCCATTTGAAATCATCTGAGGTGTTAACTGCCGTGTGCGTTGGTGCTCTCCCAAGTATCAAAGTGACCCCCAGGTTGCTTTTCACTTTTGCAAGCCTGCTGTGCTCATTATTACGCCGCTCGGTTGCGAGTGTGCGTTTTCGCAGGGAGTGACAGCAGCATAATTCAGCAGGGAAGAGGAAAGTTCTACGTTTATTTGTTGCTACTGGCGACTTTATGCAAAACACCAGCTGCATTTCCATTACAAATGTGAGCGAATCATTGTTTTCTGCTGATGTCCAAAAAACACAATTTAACAATTTCGGTGTTTCCACTAAATAAGAAATTAAATTAAAATCATGCGACAATAAGCTTGTTTACATGATAAGTCATAAAAAAGCATAGCAGCCATGTTATGTAAACAGCTACTAATATATATTCATAATTCAGCCACGGTGCTAGTGTGCATTTATCAGTCATCAGAGGAGATGTTGGCATCTTATTCAGACAAACAGCGAATACCTGGGAGTGGCTACAGCATTTTGGGGAAATTGTAGTAGGCAGCTGGCGATTTTACAGAAGACCTATGGATTCAACAGGTTCAAATGATCCACACCTTTTTATGCTCTGTGTGATGCTCAAAAAAAAAACCATCATCCCACTAATTCCTGTTGTCTTCTTCATGGTTTCTGTCAGTAGTAACCTCCGCTGTTGATCACATGACTCATGTGATGCAAGAAAAGTGTTTCCATTACAATTTTGTGAAAAACATCTATTTTCATACGACTGAAAAACCATCTCATCCTAGAGCAAAAACTTTTTATTAAAAAAAAAAAAAAAACATGATTTTTTTTTTCAGAACTCGGTATGTTTCTATTGTGCGAATTTATTTTCTGAATTTCAAGTTGTGCAATTTTATGGTTATTCGAAACACAGGGATTTTTTTTGTCCCTCTAATGTATTCATATTTGAATACTAGTCTTACGAATCATAAACGAATTCAAGAAAACGAAGACGTCCTGAATGGGAGTTACTAAAAACGCCGCATGCTTCTCACGAGCTGCCTTGCTGCTAGAAACACGTCCGATGCCCCTGCAGTAGCGACACGTACATTTGAAGTGTTTGCTGTTGAGAATAAACGTACAGCCCAAATGATCCTCCTAAGAGGGATTTCATAAAGTACACTGAGTAGATATTTCACTGTTAAACCAATAATATGGTTGAAAATGAAAGAAACGCTGATCTCAATGCTACCACAGGATGGACTTAAGTATTACTTAAATTTAGTCCAACTTTCTGCTGTAACCGCTATTTTTGTGTGTTTTTTCTTCCCCATCATGATGTAACTGTGTACATATTACAAAATATGATTAAGTGCTGCTGACTTTAAATATGTCGGTGAGGTAAGCAGCTCCTACAGTCTCTTATTGTCAGAAAATCTCAGACTATGAAAATATTGCCCCTTTTGCCTTACTTCATCTCCCAACTCTCAAAACAGCTTTACTGGAAAAGTCATTAAAGATTGTTAGTTGACTTTTAAGGGAAAGTGTGCACTTTCCACTATTGGAACAAGTAGACATTCAAGGACTCGTATGTTTCTGGAGACAGGTGACTGACTAAAAATAACATCCATGTAGAAACCTGTCTGGTGTTATGGAGTACAGAACACCATAGTGTTGCCACGGTTCTGGGTGTCGATGTAATTTATCCTCTTGCCGACACGCTAACAGTCCTGATTCTGTCTTTTTAAAGATTCATAGTGCTTTAAGAACTCACAGCCCTTAGGGGTGGCTAAGTCCAGTCCATATGAGCTGCTAACCTGCAGCTTTTGGATGCATCCTTTCTTCAGTCCACCTGAATCAGATGAATGGCCTGTTGCCAGGCCTCTGCAGAGCTGAATGACTGTCAGTCGGGGAATTTGTGTTCTGGATTTGGCTGTATGAGGAACATGGTTGCAGCTAAAAGTTGTAGGATAGAAGCTCTTGAAAACAGGAATTGGGCACCCAAGCCTTAAACATTTTCACATTTTGCAATGTTTGTGTATGAAAATTTACCTGAGAGGTAAATTACGGCGCCCCCTACAGGACATGGAGGATTTTTTTTTTCTTTTACGTTACCTTGCAATAATGTACTGATCAGTTCATGCGGCATAATTGAATGCTGTAAGCCTTTCTTACGGTCTTGTTGTGAAATATCTGAAGTTTTATAGTTTCGTTTCTTTTAGCATAGAAATGCACCAACAAACATATGATATAAACGGAAACTTTCCGTAAGCAGGAAAGAAGAAGATTACATCTAAACTATTTGGATTATTTCTGAGTTATGATCACTGGGTAGCAAAGCCATCTGACAGTTTTGATTGTGTCTCTGTTGTGCTGCTCTGAATGATTTAAAGGGATGTTTTCATGTGCAGTTCCATCTCAACCCTACACACAAACAGACATAAACATGCAGTTAATAAATTGATTTGCAATCAGGTTTTTTTTTTTTTGCACCAAAGAATTAATAATAATAAACACGTTTTTACTGAGGCTTTTTAAATATGTACACATTTGACATTTTAAATTGACATTTGTGACTGCATACAAAACAGACCAGCAAACATTACAGTAAGTGTATTGAGAGGGAACGCAAAAGAAATATTTTTCCCCTAAGGGACTCCGTAGCAAATAGCTGTAATTAGAGAAAACTGTTCAGTTCTTCACCCAAAAACAGAAACAGCCTCACAGACCTACCAGCACATGGCTGTTCACCCAACCCTGCAGGCCTGGGAGAGAAAATATTCCTCACAAAATCAGTCGAAATGTCCAAGGTAATGCTGGAGAGGCAGAATTTTATGACAGGGTAACTATTAGTCATCCACTTAACTCTGTGGTCTCAGTTTCAATTTGTTACAAATTGCAGACCTTTCGCTCCCACTGGACCAAAATCAAACCGTTTTGCTTTACACCAAACTCTGCTTTTGGTGTAAAGCAAAACAGTACACACCATCCTCACAGAGGAACATAGTGGTGGCAGAATCATACTATGGGTGTGCTTTTCTATTACAAGGACAAGAGAGCTGGTAAGAGTTGATGAGAAGATGGATAAAGTTAAATATATGGTTGAAAAAGGGGCTTGGAGGGAGAAAGGGAGATTAACCCTTGACCTTCCAGTGGAACATCAACGATAGAGCTACTGACCTAGAGCTGCCAAGGAAGGATTTATATGGAGGCATGTTTTCTAAAGTGACCCAATTATGTTTAACACTTGAATTGAACAGAGAATTTGTGGCTGGACCTGGAAATATATGTTACCAGATATTCTCCACTAAATCTGACAGAGCTTCAGAGATTTTGCAAATGAGGATTATCAAAGATCTGACTCTCTAGACAGTCTGGTGGAAAATCTGTCAGAAGTGCACTTAGAAGACTTTACTGCAACAACGGTCCTCAAATAATTGACCTAGGATGGATGAACAAATATCCACTACAATGTTCAGACTTTTATTTGTAATCATTTGGAAACCTTGTGTCATTTTCCTGCCACTTCACAATTACACTCTGCTTAACATGAAATCACATTAATGTTAAAATGTATTAGTGCTTTTATGAGACTCTGGACATAATGAGAAACATATGGCATGCAGTCATTCAAAAAGTGTGTGTATGTAAAACCTAAAAGGTTAAAGTACAATCATTGTTCCGGAAACTACCTCTCAAAGGCTGCCTTGAGTTTATTATTTATAACATATGTTGTCATTTCCAGGGAGAAAGGAGAGATAGAAACAGAAAGCAGGTTAGAAAGCCGGAGGTGCAAGACGATAAGCTGCCTGGATGTGTCCCCAGCTTCCTTGGAATCCTGGATCCCTTCACTGCCTGTGTAACCTGCTGAGAATGCAGCGCTGGCAGGACACACAGGATTTCAAAGAACGCCTCGTAAATGTAATGTACAAAAACAAAAAAAAAATTCCACTCCGTCCAAAGGCATTTTTCAACTCGTGTCGCACCAAATACAACAGGACTTTTAACGTCTTTTGTTTTTTTCAGGGCCGCATAAAACACAGGCAGCAATAACATGTTGCTTAGAGAACTGTCTCACAGTGTCCTGACATTTGCGATCAGAAATGCGCGAGCGGGACACACATCCCAGAACCTGAACAAACACGAGACTGCTTTCATAAGAGAGCGAATCAGATAACGTCTAGGATTCAGGAAGTATTTTTGCAACTTAAAAAAAAAAAAGAAAACGTACATGAATGAAAACTGCCCACGCTTTCCGTTCTTACTCAAATGGGCCATATGCAGTATGTGAAAATGTTTGCCTTTGGTGGTTTAAAAAAAATTAATAAAAATAAAAAAAATCACAATTCCCAACATTTCAAAGGCCTCGATTCTCAGGAGAGCGACGCTTCACTTCCCTGGTTTTGTTACTGCGGTGTAGAAGATTGGGGTGAACGCAGGGAAAAGCAACACGGCGTATTTGACAAAAATGTAGGGCAGCAAAGTTTATTGTAAGAATCTGGGCTAGTGCATTTCTCCCCCTGAAAAGAGATTTCTTTGTAACCAAACACTGTCCCAGAAACCCACATCCACCCCACCGTACTCTGGCGGCCTCCTGGCCTGTTGTGATGAATTGACAGGAAGAAAAGTATTGAATCGTGATTCTGATCGCACAGGCAGTGGGAGTGATTGGCTCGGTTTATCCGTCTCCTGGGAGCCGCTGCGTACATGTCAGACTGCTGTCAGGCAGCGACAACATTGCCGACTTCCTATCGGCCACTCAACATTCCTCCGAGATGAGAACAGGAAAAGAGAGCCTGGATTCGGCTTTAGAGGGTGATTTGTTTGGACACGAGATAAAAGTCGCCTCGCAATTTGTATAATGTCGGGGGGGAAAATGTGCGTCTTCTGTGGCCAGAATGCCTAAATGCGAGTGTTTTGGTTACGTTAGCTTAGGGCGCAGATTTGCAGTGAAGTTTATAAAACTGAGAGCCCTGGTTGTTTTCACTGTCCAACTTTAGGTTTCGAGACTTGAAAGAAAAAAAAAAATCTATGTTTTCATGTAAGATTCAACTAAAAGCAGACAAGGCTGTCAGAAGGACATATGTACAGTATCCAAAAGGGTCCAGTAACATGGATGCAGCTGCAGGAGTGCACACTATTAAAGTAATACTAAAATACCTTTTGATTTGACTTGAGCGTTCAGACATCTTGAGTCCACATGTGTTCTGAATTATAGTCACTCTGATAAAGTTGATGTGAAGTTCAGCTGCGCTGGTAGGAATTCCTGAAAGCGGCTCGAGGAACGCACTTTGGCCACAGTTTGCAGAGAAGCTAGTTTGATTTACAAATCATAATCGTGAACCACCTTGTTAAGTAAAGTTTATTAGCAGTACCCTTTTGGAATGTGGCCATAATAAAATATGTATGAGGGAGAAGAACTGGAGTGAAATAGTAATTAAAAAAAAGCATTTAAATATGTTCACAAAGGCCAGGGTGCTAAAGCTGACATAAATTATATGCTAACTGGGAAATAATGTTTTGACCTGGATAGAACCAGTTCATATTGCGATGGTGGATTTGGTTTTGTACTTTAAACATACATACCTTATTTTACTGTCCACAGACAGTAAAATAAAACTGTACAAAGGAATACCAATTTTACTTCTTAATACAGAAGTTCACAGATCATTAACAGAAGCTAATTGACGCTAATTGAAAAAACAGAAAACATTGAGAGAAACTACCTGCTGGAAAAGTCGGTAGCAGGTCAAGATGATATAAAAACAAAAGTAGTGAATAATTAAATGAAAACGCATTTGCTTGAACCTCTAAACCAGGGGTGCCCAAAGTCGGTCCTCGAAGGTCGGCATCCTGCACGTTTTAGTTCTCTCCCTGGTGGTAGAAACAACCTTTTCAGCATGTCAGTGTTCCTCTTAGGTCTTCTAACGAGCCATCATTTGATCCAGGTGTGTTAAATCAGGGAGAGCCCAAAAACATGCAGGATGCCGGCCGTCGAGGACCGACTTTGGGCACCCCTACTCTAAAGGTAATATAAAAAAATACAATCACAATTCAGCAGAGTTACAATTCACTAGAAACCACAATTGAACATGAGATTCATGAAACAATTGTATTTCTTGAAGTGAAATAACATAATTTTACCAAAAAATGCATAATCTGGTGAACAGTTCTATCCTACTGCACACATGTAACTGACTACATGGATTATAGGAGGTACGCTGCAGACTTACTGGTGACAGCTGTGCCATTCCCAGGTATGACGAGGTCTGTTGGGCATGAAGTCAGCTGTGCCTTTGTTCTTCACCCTCTGCGGAAATCGGAGCAGGACTCTAACGTCATAGTCAGTGGTTTCAGGACGGTAGGCAGAGCTATAGGATGGAGACAAATGTGGAGAAATCAGATAAGGGAGCATGTCCAACTTCTTGCGAGAGGAATGTCTGCGTGTCTGTTTCTCATAAGTAAAACAGCAGAAGTAAAAAATAAAAAATAAAAAAAGAGGCAGAACTGGAAAACTACGAGCCAGAAGTATATCTACTAAATAATTTATCCTACAGATTATAACCGTCTCTTCAAACACTGTTTCAATGTGAAAAACACTAAACAAAACAAGATGCATATTCTGTTGTACAGACCGGTTTTTTTTTGTGAGAAAAAGGAGGCATAACCTTCAGTTCACAACCACTGAAGATGTAAGCCATTCGTCTTGTGACTGTTGTTGACATTGGAGTGGATGGCAAATTACAAAAGCCCATCTGTGGGTGATTGCAGCAAACTCAGAGAGGATATACAGGGCTTTGAGGGATGGGTGTGCTTCTGATGGGAAGAGGGCAAAGTGAACACCCAGAGGGACGACACATTTCATTTCAGAAGCGGCCGGCCTGGGGCTCAGAGGAGGCTTTTCACAAACCCAGACATTAAACCTTCATCCCTAAAAAAATAAGGAATTAGTTTACTGATGTTGTGCTCTTAGGTTTAGTTTCTCTTTAAATTGTGTTTAATATTGTGCTTGATTAGTTTACTAATTCAAAACTACGGTTTTCAAAGTGGAGGCCAGGACGACTGGCAACCAAACAGGGGTTTTGTAGAAGACCTTCAGAAATTACGACGTTAAATTTAAAACTAGTGTTTGACTAAGATATTTTATTATTAGATATTTTGCTAATTTCTTTGCAACTGAGATGGCTGTGGCTCAGTTCACCTCCTCACCCAATCACACCACCATTTGGCACAAACATATAGCCTTTTGCATATGAGAACAATTTACTTAAACTGCAATTAAAGAAGCAATTCCCTTAAACCATTCAGTTGGGGCTCATCTGGGATTTGAACCCAGGACCTCTCGCACCTGAAGTGAGAAGCCTACCCGCCAGACCAACGAGCCGCCATCTGCTAGCAACCTGTAAGTGTGAGACAGCAGGACATTCCTGTCGCAGATTGGTCGGCACACATGCTTTTCTCATTAAGCCAACTGGTTCAAGAGCACCTCCAAGTGGTGAAATGCATTTACAAGAGGCTCGTTGATTTGGAGCATTTGTTTAGGGTGCGAGATCCCGGATGAGCCCCTTTGAACACTTCTGGAAGATGCAATCAATTCTGGCTATAACATTCAGCATTCTGGGTATTTGGGAAATCTTCCATCTGTCTCACAGGAACTCCCTTTTAAAAGGGCAAACACCATTTTATGAGACCAGTGATTTTTTTTTTTTTTTTTTTTTTTTTACAAAAACAAAAGAAAAATCCTACAACCGCTAAAATATGATGCCATTCTGATATTTTTTTTTTTTACATTTTGTGAAGAAGGAAGTTTCTTCTTCAGAGGTTTTGGGGTTGTTTCCTTCTGTGGATATTGTTGCAGCGCCACCACAGGTGAGGAAGTGAACATATATATATTTTTTAAGCATTTAATTAATTTAACACAGCACAGTATGAAAGTGAACCACACCGTCTGAAAATATCACACATTCTACAATTTTTCTCCTCAATCGAACATAGTCTACCAGACTATCAGGCGTGGAAACACAGCAAGTCTAGAAATCATGTTAACACATTTCTTTCAAGTTAATGTACAGTCTATCATTTGAAACTCATGCAGACTTTGCTTTACCTCGACAAGCATTTTTCCTCTGCAGCACAGCGGAGGGAGTACATGTGGGCTCTTTGGATGTATGTTGAAGCCTGGACATAGTTTGGATCCGGAACCAGGTCAGGTAAACCTGAAACGATGGGGAAAAAAAAAAAAGCTCATTTTTCATCACCACATATTCAACGCTGCAACAGAACGCTCCAATGTTTGTTAAAGCTACTGCATAATCCAGAAAGAGTTAATTAGGTCTTAAAAGAGTGAATGTTATTTAACCTGCCAAATTTACTCGTGGGGCTGCTGTTATCATTCCAGGTATATCCGAAGCGATCCAAAGGTCAGCACCGTCAGAGTGCTTGTTAGCATGTTGGTCATTATCTTCTGTGATCTGTGAAATATGTTGGTGCTGACTGAGGATGTGAGGGGCAAAAAAAACCAAAAAAAAACTGAGCAACAGGACCCACAGTTCAAGTCTGGGTCACATCAGGGAGACTCAGACACTAATTATTCTGCTATTCAGAATTTTATCATCACTTTCTAATAAGAGGTGGTGTTTGTTTTTTTTTTTTTTAGTTCAAGCCACTAGATAAGAGTTGTTGATTGAGAGAGCGAGAGAGGCCACAAGAGCTTCATTTCGGTCTGTGGTTGCAGAATCACTGCACCAAAAAAAAGGTTTGTAATAAACTTATTCTCAGCTTCGCTTTCATCTGGTTTACAACATGTAGCTCATTATTATGAGGGGTAATTTCTTCTCAACGTAAAAACCACACTGTATTTACAAAAAAGCATGTCATTATTCAGTTGTTTTTATTCAAAACCAAAACACAACAATTATCCCAAATTCTGTTAAAATTATATATATTATCCCAAATTCTGTTAAAATTATATATATATATATATATATATATATATATATATATACACACACATATAAATAGGGTTCCACAAGCGGCTAATAAAAAAACAAACAACCTTTGAGCAGGTATTAAACTTTTCATGAAGCCCATGTTTCTGTGGTCTGACATTAATAATATAATCTTTATAATATTTATTAAATGTGAGAAAATCATCATAATTACTGGAACTAAAAGTTTGACTAATCTATATATTATTCACTTGGTGAAATACATCACTAAAATAAATATACTTAAAAAAATAAATGTACTGAATGGGTTTGTAGCTCACTGGTGTAATATTTCTATTCATGCCGTATAAGTGTTGCTATTTTCATTGGGATTCATACTAAAGTATACATTTTGAGTAAACATCACTAAAAACAAAAAAGATGTCGCTTGCTTAATAAGAGCAAGTTTCCATACCATTATTGTCTGATTTTGGTCTCACTGGAGATACTAAAAATCAGACAAGTCCAACTTTCTTTTAACAGGTGGAAGACAGAGAGTGCTGGTACTCTATGCTCCATAAAACTGAAACAAAAAAAAATCTAGTTGCACCAATATTTTCTCTGGCATCTCATTAAAATAACTTTAAACCATAGGAGCTAGTATATTGACTGTGGAAACCTGCCCGTGCCTAAGCGAAGCGATACAGTCGAAGGTTTTAAAAACGGCGCCTTGTCAGAGAACAGGTCTGTATGCCTGCAGCATTACCTAAAAAGGCCATGCCAACTTGATCTCTGTCAAGGTTTATCAAACTTTTCTGTTTAACTTATGAAGGCCAGACATAGTCTGATGTGAACTTGTTCAAACCATGTCAAAAATTTAGCTCGGTTTCCATTCCATCTGCTTAACAGAAGCGAGCCGAAAGAACCAGAAAGCAAACTTCCTGAAACACTTGCCTGGCACTTCACACCTATGTGAGTCTTCCTACCTTAGCTGCAACTTTCAGTGCAGCCTTTGCCCTCTGCAGGGTCTGTGCAAACTGCCAATCTGACATGTCTATCTGAGGCTGACATGTAGGGCAGCGGGAGGCTTCCTGGAGCAGACCATGTAAACACTGTAAACCAGTGTGAAAGACTGAGCTTTCCAAACATCACTCTCAGTCCAACTTCGTTTTTTTTTTCTCCTCTCCTTTAAACGGCTTTGTTCTCTGCCCTCTAATCTTTTGAAATGTGAAAGTGGGTCTTTTCTAGGGGTATAAAGTGTATCGAGAAGGCAAAGCTGATCAGCCCTCAACTGTAAGCGACAACTTCCTCTTACTCTCCAAGTGGGGCACAGAGAAAAGAAGTCTGGGCAGGGTTTCTGGCTTATATGAGATAAAGGAAGAACAAGGGTTCTCCTTTTTTTTTGCTACATCCTGTTAGATGGTAGTAAATAATACATATTTGACATTCTCTCATTACCATTTATTTTCCCCTTCTACTTCAGAAGGGCTAGTGGTAGTTTCACAGGACAGATTTTAAGCTTGTGACCATTTCTCAGGTCATCTCAGTCAAGACTGACTGAGATGGGAGGATTTTATCTAGAGTGAAAGGTCAACATTAAATCCATGGACTGATGACATGGTGCTAACCAGCATATGACATATGATTAATTAAAGAGTGCCGTTTAATCACGTCCGTTTGAAATCTCCTAGGTTTCAATTTGGAAAATTGGCAGCAAGTTTCCTTGAAATTGGAAATGAGAGAAATTTAATTCAAAAACTAAAGTAGAGTAAAGAAACAAAACCAATTTTAATTCTAACAGTACAGTATATCATTTAGACAAAGCTCCATAAAACCTCACTTAGCGAACATGTAGCTACACGTCGGTACAGTACAAATCTGAGAAAGACATTGTTTTTAGGATGCACAGCTAGTGGTAGTTAGCTTGGTCACTAAACTAATCAATTACAGAATCTGATTTTGTAATTGACCCTGACTTCAGAGGGAAATTAAAGCCTCTATTCCTCCCTCACTGTTGTACACTACAGCTTGCAGTTTGACTTCTTTACTTTCCACTCATTGAGCTCCTCTTTAGAAACGTCCTCTATGTGACAATTACTTTGGCTTTAACTGACACCAAATGTTATCCTCAGTACAGCTGAAGGGAACAGAGTAATGCCAGTGGTATTTTAATGATTGTTTCAGCTTTGTTAGGGTTTCCAGGGGTGTCCAAACAGCAATATTATGGAGATTCTGTGATTCACAGGGATCTTGGTAACGCCAGCTTCCTCTGGCCTAACAGCACATCGTTTTTATTTATCTTTAAAGGACACTGCCTGCTTTGAGTCATTGCTCAGATCTTATAAATTCAAAATCTTGTTGGGTTTAATTTCTAAATAAAACAAACTTTTGAGATGGGAAGATGTGAAATTTCCAAGGATTGATGTCTTTATGTTCAAGTGGCTATTTATCTGTTTTATCACTTTGCTCTGTGATTCAATTTTAGTGACAAATACAAGAGTATTCTTGCAGCATTCTTGAATTACTGAAGCAATATTTAAAAATATTAGAAACCTTCAAAATACCCTAAATTACGTGCGATCACAAGCATCAGAAGCCCGTCTAGGATACAGTATCCAGCATTCAAGGATACGTTGAACACTATTTGTTTAAAACAAATAATACTAAAACCTGTAAACACAATTGTCCTCTTGATATCACTCTGAAAGTATACATCGGAAAAGTTATAACAGTGTAAAAAAATTTTTATGTCTTACTGCGAAGTAGTGCAATAAAGATGTCTGCTTTTCAAAAGCTCTTAACAGCAGAATCCATACTGCTGTGATTACTGAGAGCGCCAAGGCATTTATGCACATGATGACTTTTTTTGTGCTGCATGCTAGAAATGGCTCTCAGCTCTAAAGCGTCTAATGAACCATGGTCGGGAACCACACGGCACACCAGAGCGCCTGCTGTGCAGGACAACAGGTTGTAGCGAGAAACAAAAATGATAAACCTGCATCAGCGAGCTCGAGAATCTGCTCTCCACTCGGTGCATGCGCAGCCTCCGGCACTCAGAGCTCAGGCACCCGTGTTGTTGTTGTTGTTGTTTTCTGATCTCTAATCTTGCCTCGTGTGGTAATCTGTACCAGTGACAAGAGAAACGTCTTCATCCCGCTCATTAAAAGGAATCTAAATCGGTTGCTTGGAGAGCCACAGAAAGCGTCTGCTTTGTTCAATAAACATTTTGGGACAGCAGGCTACATGCTTCCACACTTCTCATTTTTCTCCCCCAAGTACCCTGACTAAATATTTATTTGATTTCCTGTAGCCAAAGAAATGGACCCCATGTGTTACAGGGACTTTCCACTCTCCCTCCTTTCAGGGATTGGGGTAGAACCGCTTCTCCCGCCCTCGTTCTCCTCTCTCCTGCCCAGAAGTCAGCCACCAACACCCCTTGACACTAGCCCACTTATGAGGTCACCGCAGCCGTTAGCAGAATCGAAATGCCTCAAGAACCAGTCGATTTCCTTGTAACTCCGTTCTCACCCTCCCCTCCAAAAACAAAGTGGTTTTTGTGTCTGCTCGCTACATGTTCACAGGCTTTTGCACAACACCTGGTTTCAATAACTTCACTGGCAGGGGAAAATGAACTTCGGATCAGCTTCACTTTATTTGCAATTGAACAAAAGAGGAAAAAAGAAGAAGCTTTACTTTCAACCAGCTGTTTCATTTTGATTACATCAGATTGTTAACAAAATTTAAAAACAAGAATATCAGAATAAAAAAAAATGCAAATGCATGCAGGGGTGAAGGTGGGTGTGGCGGGCATTCCTACTCCCCTGCGGATTCTGCATATTTCATATTAGTATGCACAGCAACAACTGAGATCAAATGAGAAGCGTTTCATCTTTTCTCCTTCGAGACAGAAATACCTTCAGCAAATCTGTAAGAGGCGGCATGAACCTTGTTTCTTTTTAAAATGTAAAACAAAATGCTTCAGGATTTCACAAAAACGTAAATGAGTCATGAACTTCAGCTCTCTATTAATACTTGCCCAACTATGCTTACAAAATAACTTGTGTTGTTTGTGGTGTTGTGGTTTTAAATTCACTAACCAAGTTGTAACATACCTCTTTGGGTTCCCCGATACACATTGCCAACGTTGGTACCAGAGTTCTCCAGGGCAGAGTTTGGAGAGGTTCTGCCTTGAGGAAAAGGCTGTGAGAAAGGAGGCTGGGGTCTTCCATAGGGAGGAAACTGCTCATATTGTGGGCTTCGGACTGCTGATTGCCCAGCAGCTCCTGGTCTATCCACCACAACAGGAAGCGCTTGGTTGGCATCAGGGATTGGGTTGGCAGGGGCAGACTCCTCATTGAAAAGGCTGTGGGTGTACCTGTGATCCAGACCATCTGCAAATGATGGCTGGGGGGCACTTGCGGGTACCCCTGGATTGGGTCCGTAGCCGTACGACTGGTAGTAATAGTAACCATTTTCGGGGAATTCAGATGGAGAACCGGGGAACACTGAGCCCAGTCCTCCTCCAAATCCACCTGCAGCAAACCCTTGTCCAGTCCCAAATGTTCCTCCGCTGTATCCGGTGCCTGGAACAGGCTGGAAAGGTGGCTCGTAATTTCTGACAGGAGCGTCTGGAAAACCGCCGTCAAAAGGCTGGAAGGGAGGCTGTTGGGGAAATGGGTATTGAGGGTAGGATGGTATGTTATATGAAGACGAGGAAAAAGTCGATGACGACGATGGACGGCGCTGACTGCTCGAGGAACTGTGGAACTGGCTGGTTCCTGTGCTGCCTGTGGTTTGCCTCCAGTTATCAGGCACTTGTCCAAAACCGAAAGGATGCCTTGCCTGCCCACGAACAGTTTCGGAGGACCCCCTTGGTGGAGCCTGCCTACGGAGATTGCTTCCCTGACGTCTGCGTGAAGGACGGGGATCTGACAAAATGACCCTGGTAGCTCTTTCTTGACCTCCGGCTCCGGCAGGAACGTACTCAGCTCCACTGTTCACCAGGCTGAACACCTGTCCGTTGTTTTCCCACTGTATCACCTGTCTCCAAGGGGTAGCGGAACTGTCCTGCTCTTGACCCTGTCTCTGGCTTTGCCCCAGAGTTTGTGAAGCAACCTGAGCCTCCCCTGAGCCCACGAGAAAAAACATCACACATACCACAGCAACAGACATCATATTGGCTCAAGCGATTCAGGAGTTCACCCCAAGAGAGAAAAAGAGAGAAAAAGAAAGGTGGAATGGTTTAAAGAAATAAATCCAGTCAGCCACGGGTTCAAGCCACTTGCGGTTCTGTCAATAAAACATGTGTATCCTCTTCCTGTGGGCACAGCTTTGGTGTGCGTGTTGAGACAGGGTTGCAAAGTAAGCCTGTGGTTGAGTGCATCTGTTGCTCTTTGCTTGCCAGCAATTGGAGGAGCTTGAATTTGCATTCAGAGGGAATCACATCCAGTGGAGTACGAGTTGGCTTCAGAAGATCCACTGTTGGTGTAACCGTCTGCTGGTGCAGCGAGCATATGTCCTGACTTCTTGCCGGTCTACTGGCTCTTCCTCCAGTAGAGTAAGCATTGCTCTCCGCCTTCTTGAAAGAAGTGTCTGTTCACTGCACAACAGCAAGCTTCTATTTGCCTGATTACTTACAATGGGCTGAGAAAAAACCTCAAACTTTTTTTTTTCTTTTAAAGGAGAGGTCCCACATGGCCCTAGTGCTAGTGATGTTTCCTGGCCTGCAGCAGCCAAGCCTCCGTGAGGTTTCCAAAGTCAACACCACGAGCTGCAAAGGCATTCAAAAAATATTGTAAAGCAGGTCAGACTTTCAGCGGCTTCTCTCCGGTCGTGTGCTCTCACAGAGTCATCAGCAGGCGTTTTAAAGATCTGTTTCACAATTTCCACTTACGTCTGTAAGACATTTCGAAATAGAAGTTGTTAATTATGACAATCTGTCTAACTGAAACCAGGAATGTAAGCAAGAAGCACCTAAGTGTATGAAGGAAAAAAAAACAACACAATTGCTCAAACACAGTCAGTCATCTGTTTATGTAAAGAATTTGTTGGAAAATGTGATTTGGATACTCCACCCTAAGAAATACCAAACAAAGGTCAGTTAAAAGAACTCACAATGCTTTCCTTTCACCAAACACTAACACACATGTAGACACATATGCCCCTGCCCATCCCCCCCCACACACACACACTTCTCATTTCCCAAACACCTCAATCACATGAGGTTATACTGTGAGTTTTAATCTGTGCATGCATTCAAACTATTTATGTGTGCATGCAATTGGTAATGCTAGATAGAATCAGAATTCCTTTTGTTATCAAACTCAGCAGTTGGTAATTGTGTTTTCCTTGGCATGGCTTGTCGGGAAAGTGTCCACTGTGCCACAGCGCAAGGAAAAAGCAACATTCTTCCACGGCTACAGCAGTTGAACCAACATTGTACTCCTATGGGAGTAAATGATGATAATGTCTCGGTGGAACAGGCTCTAACAGAAAACGCACTCATTTCAAAGTCTGGAAAGTGACCAGCTTAAAAAGAGGAGCTTAAGCATTAAATAAAATATCTGCATACAGAAGAATCCATCAGTCCAGGAATTAACAAGGGAAGAGCAGGAACTACATCACCTCTTGTGATGAAAGAAGGATATAGCAACTGGATTTTTCTCATAACTTTTCACAAACAGCATTAAAAAGATGTCATTTTCACAAGAATAAGGGATGCTAACAAAAATGGAAGTATTAAAGGAGAAAATAGAAACAAGATACAATACATATGAAAAAGAATGTCATATTTTCATTGTTCATATAGAAGCTAGTGCTAATTTTGTGCTCATTTATTTTTCTATAGTTCATTTTATGCATTCAGTTATTTACTTTGTATTTAGCCAAATGCGATTTTTTTCGTCATCGATACAAGTTTGCTCTGCAAAAGTCTCCGCGAGTGTCCATGAGAAAAATACACCTAGTCAAAGTGTGGCATCTAGGGCACTGTTGATAAGAAAACAATGGGATAGTCCATGAGCAGAACAAAAAAAAGCAATAATAAGGCTTGTAGAGTTGTATAGTAGAAATAATTCTGCTATACATGGAAGCACATGGTTGTACACCCAGGTTGGTATTGATTTTGCCATTTTTGTTTTGAGGAAGCACATGATCCAAATGCATTCGGCGATGTTCTTGGCGCTAGCGTCAGCCATCTTGTTTACAAGACGTGATCATTCACATTACTGGCTCGAACTTGCAAGACTGGACAGACAAGGCTTCCGATGCCGACTTGTAGCTCTGCTATCGAACTACAAAAACGTCAGAATGGGTCGGGGTCTGCGACCTGGAGGAGGGTCCGGGGCGTGAGGTGCCCTAGTTTCATTTCAAGAGACGGCAGGAAAGCGAGTTGCTCTCAGACCCGTATCAGGACAGAGGAAAGAGAGGAATTCAGGCCAAAACATTGCTGTTCAACTTCATGGAGATGAATCAAAAGCATGGATTGCAGAACTAATTCTTCACTTGTGCAACTTTTGAGAAATACACACATCAAAATGAAAAGCTAAACATGCCACAGAGACGTTGTCTTGCACTGACATACGGGATTTTCCTTAAAAGAAATTTAAGTTCACAATGTTCTATTCTGTTCTGTTCAGCTCTTTCTTGAGGTAACATTGTCTGAAAATGATCTGTCCTACTTAAAACTTGCTTTTATGCATGTCTGTTAAATAACCACAACCAGTAGTTTGGCTACATTAAGCTCAAAGTGTTTTGTTTTGTTCCTTTTTTTTTTTTTTTTTTAATTACAGGCAAATCCCATGGGATTTTCTCAGGAACCAAAAGTGCTGCCTGAAGGAGGCAAACCAAAAGAGTACCGCTATGCCTTGAAAGTCTTTCAGTGAAACATTCCCCTGAGATTAGTCAAAGCTGTGAAGTCAAAGATGGTTGTTTTTGTGCGACGGTTATATGTGTGCGCGGCACCTACTGGAAACACCATGTACCCTGTGAAGCAAGGATTGCATTGATCTCAGAGAGGATGCAACACAGACGGAAATCTGAGGGAGTGGGTTCCCTGCAGAGAACAACCTTTAGCTGCACAGAATCAGAGCTGTCAGACAGGGATGTTCCTCTCTGAGTCAGTGAATGTATATAGCTGGGAGCTCACTCATGTCTTGTCACAAAACATTTATCAGCGCTCATGCCTTTTTCAAGGCAACAGCTGTGGACAAAATCTCTTCTATTTTTAGACCGTTGATCCTATTCTCGAGATAGCGACATCACAAGAGGATATGTTTTTGTATACTTGCATATCAGGGGTGCAACTAATGATTATTTTAGCAATCAATTAATCTAGCAATTATTCTGACGATTCATCTGTCTAAAATATTTGGCACGTTATGCAGATTTTTCATTTAACCACTTAAGACTTTCATACATTATTGGAAATACATTAAAAGATGCGGAAACACTGTATTTGTAGGTGCGTGAGAAAGGCGGACATGACGGTGTCAGACATGACAAAGTGCCAAATACGAACATGAAGGAGTCTTTATGAATGTTTGAGTGTTGTCATGAAATGTCATTTGGTAAATAATTACACTTCTACTGCAAAGTTGCACTAAAATTTTCAGTAAAATTGTTAACTCTGCATGATTTAATAAATGACACTTTTAATAGTTTCATTCAAAAGTCCATTAAAAGTATCAATTTTCCAATAAAAGTAGCATTATTTACCAAGTGAGACTTTGTGACAGTAGACTTCATGTTTATGATAGTCATGTCAGTCTTATGCACAGCTCTTCAAATAAAGTGTTACCAGAGATGCAAATGAACAAACAATTCAATTTGTTAATGTGAGAAAAAAAAAAAACATTGTATTGCCTAAAATACAATGACATACCATTCCTTTAGAGAACACTTGATCATTTGTGGTAAATGATGCATCTGCTGTTCAAAAACAATTCCAACATCAACATGGGAAAAGCTCAATCACTTCTGCCAGACTTAACATCAATGGATGATTTGTTAAATATTTTTAGGCAGGTTTTTGCCCAGGGCTGATTAAATGTTGGTTTTGACAGCTGGCAACAGAAGATCAAATGAGACGATCTCATAATTATGCCGAAAAACATCATTCTTAAAGAAAGAGAAAAAAGAAAGAAAGAAAGAATGTTTAAATTTGCAGCTGTCATGTGTTGCAATACTGGGACTTGCATCATCCTAATTTAGTGCTTCCTCTTTTCCAAACAAAAACGTCTACTCAAGCAGAAAAGAAGGATCCACGACATAAAAAAAATCAATTGAAACAAAACAACAACTGTGAAATGTAGACTACCCAGCCAGCATGCCTAGGTGGGACCCATGTGGGGACAAGGAGGGCAGACTATATGGGTCCCATATGGGTTTGTCCGCGGGTTCCACGATGGCCCCACATGGGTTTGCCCATGTAGGGCCACAGCCCACATGGGCCCTGCATGGGCCCTAATTGGACAAAACCCATGTGGGCCACCACCATATAGGGCCCATGCAGGGCCCATGTGGGCTCTGGCCCTACATGGGCAAACCCATGTGGGGCCATCGTGGAACCCGCGGACAAACCCATATGGGACCCATATAGTCTGCCCTCCTTTTCCCCACATGGGGCCCACCTAGGCATGCTGGCTGGGCTAGTTGTCAGTGTGTTTGATATGAAGAAAGACTTTTTGTGATGCTGAAGTAATGTTTTTAACATCAGTTGTGATAATAAACCACTTCCTGAAGTTGCCCAAGAATCTGACAAGTTCAGCAACATGTTGTCCTGCAGCTTTCCTTCCCATCTGCAATCTGCTGGAGAAACAGAAAAGATTGCTGCGGTTGCATTTTCCGTGGAACATTTCCAGCTATTTTGCAAGTTATTATTATTATTTTTTTTTTATGCATGTTTATTTTTTTTTTTTACTTGGGTCACGCAGGGGATTTCTTTATCATCCAATCCAAACATTAAAGAAGAGTTGTGGCTTGTGTTGTTTCGGGAGCATTGATTTGATATGTGATGAAGGTGTTAAAATAGGTCAGTGAAATTGTTTAAAAGGTACAACAATAAAAAAAAAAAACAGGATAGGGGTGAGGGGGTTTATTGGGACACTGAAAGCGGGTCTGTGGTGGAGCAACACAGCACACATCCTTTGCACACTGCTTAGTGACTTACGACCCAATAGCTTTGAAATAAGAAACTCAAAGACTTGGCGACACACACTGTATCTGTAGCTTGACCCTGTAAAAACTGTTGAGTATTAAGGAGCACATCAGATCTTTTTGTTTGTTTGCTTGTTTCTTTTATCTTCTCTCTCAGCGCTTCCAACATTGGGTAATCATTTCCATTCAAAACTTCCCTGTGACAGAGACCCGGCAGCACCAGTAATGCTGCCGGAGCAGTCAGCCTTTGAAGTACCCACCTGCTTTTTATTAATTTAATTTTCACTCCAGGAGAATCATCAGGCGCCTGCACTCTCCGCTTCGCTCGCCATCAGATACAAGGGGACAGAGAACGCCAAAAATAATTCCATTCACGGGATTACGGGAATTTGCTCACACATGTTGAATATTACGATTGTAATTAGAAAAACAAAATCCTTTTTGTAATCTGTTTCTCTCTGTAGAGTACTTTAAAAGATAGCAATTCTTATGTAAAAGGTTATATTTCAGTGTAACCTTTTACATTAAAACTGGAGCTGTGGAGATTTGGTCACATCTTCAGATGAAACCCAACGTCAGAGGACACCGTCGGGCATAAACAGATAAAGTTGATCCAAAAAAAGTGTACAAATACTTTTTATATTTTGTGTGGGCAAAAAAAAAAAAAAAAAAAAAAAAAAAAACCTCAAAAAATATTTTTTACACCGTTATGTCGCAATTCAAATGAGACAAAAACTAATCTGTATAAATAGGACAAAATGTGCAATTTATTGGTGAAGCTCATTTGTTCATTTAGTTCACCATTGTCTACAGACAGGCTACAAAACTTGTTGCACTTAACAGATGTGTTGTCCTGTCTGACTGTCAATTTCCAAAACGGCACAACAAAAGAAAAAACTCGCTAAAGCTCACACGGGGTCAGTGCGACCCCGCTGGACTGCGCACAGAGTATAAAACTCATGGGGTCTAAAAGACCTCGTCTCTAAAAGTAATCAGTACAACGTAATAAAAATCATTGATCTTGGTTCCTTTATTAGATAAACCAGTTCAATGGGTTGTCAACAGGAAAATGAGTCAAATCTTATCTTGACACATGTAAACGTCATGAAGACCCACAGGGAGGTAAAGGGGATTAAACTGAGTGTGTTGTTGGCAATACGTGGGCCTGTTGGGCCTTCAGATCTGGTGTATAAAACTCTTTCCAAACTGATTTCTTAAACTAAACCTTAAGTCACTGTAGTATAACTTTAAGAAATACTCCCAATATTTTTGTGGAGTCCATCTAAAGGCAAACTGAGGTTGTTCTGAAAGGAAACCCACCAGTACTAGTTGGCATACATATACCGAGGCATAGTACAGACAGTTATCAGTAGATGGAGAAAATGTGAGAAAACTACAGTACAGCATAAAAAAAAGAATAATAAAAAACTGGCTGTATCTCCAAAATAAATGAAAACAAAAGACAGAAACTGGCAAGGATTCTGCTAAGGGGCGAACAGCAACACTGTAGGAAAGTACTGCTTGTGTTCTACATGTTGGAACAAATCCTTCTCTTCCCAAAGACAAGGTCTTTCTCTCCCGTTGAAACCATCCAGGCTTGTCTGGAATCTCTAAACCTTTTGGCACAAAATGGTGTGGGGCTGATGAAACCAAACATTGCAATTTATGGGGAAAAAAATAACAAAACTTTGCCTCGTTTAAGGTAAATTAATTCTCTATACTCTAGAATACATACAAGAACCTGAATGTAAAAAAATAGTATCAAAATTATTCAGGTTTTAATTATATTTTAATAAAACACGTTGATCGCCGATTATTGTTTTCACCATTCTCAATAACAAAATCAAACCCTCCTTGTAATTGGTGACCAGCTTGTATGTAAACAATTTATCTTGTGTAATTGGTGAACTGGGACTCAGTTTACCACATCATCAAGCAGCTGATGAGGGCGGGGTTGTTGACAAAAGGTAGAAACACCCATACGGCAAATTTCATTAACCTATAATTTCCATTGTTTGGCTGCACAGAGAAGATATACATTTTAAAAAAGTGAGGATCGGAAATATTTAGCATTCTTTTCACGTTCCCTCCATAAATAAGCCAGATCTGATGAGTTAGGAGCACTTTCACTTCCCTCGTTACCGTACAAATGTCCAGATGAACCTTTTACATGGCGCTTTTCTCTCCTCGCACATTGTGACGGAACTCAGGCGGATGAGGGCGAGGACATTAAATCTGCTCAGCTGATTTGTGTGTCTTTTTTTCTTCTTCTTCTTCTTTTAGGTGTGAGCCTACAACCTGTAACCCCCGCGTTTTAGACGCAGCGTCTAATTTGAGCTCGAATAACCCGTCGGCCTTTTCGCACGGCACGGCTCAACCTGGAGGGAAGGACGCCGAGGCAACACACAACCTTAAATCAGAGATTATAATGCAAACAGCCCTGTGGGGCTCACTAATGACTAAGGTGAGCCTGAGATGCGGCTTCGGCTCCGCTTTGGAATATCAATTAGGTCTCTCAGGAATGTGAAGATGGAAAGAAGTGACTGGCATAGCAAGAGCCTCGTGCGTGCCTTTTTTTTTTTTTTTTTTTTTTCCCGGGCCCCCCCCCGCCATTTTGGAAAATGGGTCCAAGGGAAAAAAGGGGGGGGGGAAAA